AACTCTGGTACTGTGAACATACATGTGAATGTCTTAATTCATATATACTTTGCATGATTATTTTATTTCCCAGTGGTTTACTGCCTTTTTGCACATCATATTTTTGATTTATTTTGTGTTCAAATTGTTCATATGCTGCTTGTTCCACACAATTTCTGATAATAAAAGTATTTGAAAATAGTAAAATGTTCTTCTTTCAATTTATATCTTTGTAACGAGTGTTTGAACTACATTTAAGCCATCAAAAGCAGGTATTTCGGGGTTTTTTAATTGAAAAACGTAAAAATTTCATCAGCCGATATATATCGGTTATCGGATTTTTTAATTCCATAATATCGGAATCGGCATCAGCCCCAAAAAGTCCGTATTGGTTGGGCCCTACTCAAAATATCACCATGCAGTAGGAATCGTGCCTCTACTCGTGGACAAAACGCACATGCTCATGACAACGTGAGATGTAAACATGATACACAAAGACACACAAGCTAAAAAAAAAAAAAAAACAAATGCGAAAGGTAACCCACACCCACTCCCTCTCAGTTCGGTACAAGTTTAAATATCCTATAAAACTACAAATAATATTTCGTAGAAACACTGTATTCCAAAACATTTAACATCACAACAAAATATCATGACTTAAATCTAAATTATGGATATTAAGGCACAAAAAAACATTGAATATGTGCAGTATATAGGAGCTACCTCAAATACTAAGGTAGGCCTATATTTAATGACAAATATCCTTTTTGAAAATTGGTATGGCGGTGTCAAGCGTGTACCAACATCCTACTGCATCAGGACTCCACCTCTGAAAGATTATGTGCACAATTCAGTCATCCCATCTACATTAAGGAGAATTATGACATGAGCACAGAGAATGTACTGCACAGAGCTGATACTCCAGCAAGCACACAGCAGGCTATGAGCACAGCAGAGCATGGGGATGATAATTAACCTCTCCGACAAAACTGCATTAGAGACAATTGCTTTTATCCTATGACTCACCGGGGTTGGGAATCACTGTAATATACGATGCACTGAACTGAGTGGATAAACCGTAACCCAGCAATATGCAGCAGCAGCACCACCACAAGATACATTAGCTGTGCAGTAGATAATTACGTACGTTAAAATCACAAGAATGCATTGCTGGAAGCAGACACATGTAGTGTTGATAAGCAGGACAGGAACATGGGGATATAAGTTTAAGGTATGCAAGAAGTTTAAAGTCAAAAGCACAGAACAGCAGGTCAACAGTTAAGATATATAGGAAATAATAAAGCCACCTGATCTGGGGCCTGTATCACGAAGCAGGATTAATGTCTTAGTGAGGTAACTTCAGGGTTAACTCTGGGTTTTCGGTCTCACGAAGCCGGTTCAGTTCTTATCGGGGTAGATCACCATGGTAACTTACTCTGAACGGCTATCCTGCTCCGGAGCAGGGTAAGTTCAGGGTTGAATCTGATCCTATAAAAAGCACCACCCACTGGCCAATCAGCTGTTCGGAAAAAAACGACTCCGCTGACAGAAATGCAGCCCAGTCATGACGGGAAGTTTAATTCATTTTATTGATTTTGATTTGAAAGTTCATTTTGAACATTAAAAAAGAAAAGAAAGCAACAACAGACAATGAAAAGATTGTTCAAAAAGGAGTGGACAGAAGTCGAAATTTCATCCCACCCCTTCATAAGAAAGAAACTGATAATTTGCGGACACTTAATAGCACCATTAATTAGTGCCAACATTTTGTTTTGTTGGAGGAAATGATCCCTGTTAAAGATAATGGGCCTAATTGACAGCTTTGCTGCTGGAAATGTGGAAAGTAGCCTATCATGTCTACACCTCATGGTGTTTGAGGGATTTTCCTTTTTGTTTTGTTTTTTTAAAGAGGGACAATATTTCTGCGCAGCTGTTAATTTCTAACACAGCTCAATATCAGGATGATTTTATTCAGACTATCAATTTGGTGTTGATATGATTTAATTGTGGCGTCAGCTTTAAGCTTTATTGTAGCATATATAACGTTATGACAAAGAAGACCAATTTATCAGACGCAATGATGTTAGACGATAATTGTAATACACGCAATTCATCTGCGCAGCATTGATTTCATGAGATTCAAGGGTGTGATCAGTGTCAGATGTACAGGTACAGGTACTGTAGCTAGGCTACTTGAACTAGTGATGAGTAATTTAACCTACACATCATTTTATTTGCTATCTTGTTTTGTTTTGATTTTTCCCTCTCTCCTCCTCTATTTCTTCTTTCCTTACCCATTTTTTTTCTTCTCTATTATGTGATTTCATTGATGTTTTGACAGGGGAATTTCTTTGATAAGCTTTTAGTGGCTTCTAACCTCTCCGGCACTTTTCTTTTTTTAATCTTGTAAATTTTATACTGTCTGTTTTTAACATTATGTGCAAATAAACTAATCTAAACTAAAACTAAACAGTATTCATCCCGTTATGTGTTGCCACGCATGTTTCCTCCTCCTGCAGCTGCCACAGTGTTGGCCTTTTCTGTAATGCTGCTTTTCTCCTCCTCATATTTTAGTACAATTAATCTCTGATCCTCACGAGAAATACTTTTTTCCCCCTCACATACGGCGCTCTGTGAGGACGCTCAGTGACGCTGCGCTTCTCTCATGATTGTGATTGGTCCGCTGCGTGCGCGTTCACGGCTCTTGATAAAGCCACCCTGGGTTGAGTTACCGAGTTGATATCCAGCGTCGTGATACTGATTATCCTGATTGCCATTGTTAGGGTTAGTCAACCCAGGATAGGTCTGGGTAACCCAGGAAAGGTTGATCTCGCTTCGTGATACAGGCCCCTGCTAAAACATCTCCAAGTGTGTGGAGGCACTGTGTATTTCACTAGTGTATGTGTGTGTGAGACAACATGAGTTAAATTTCATATCAGAAATTAACATTACAGGAAAATAACTGAGCAAATGAGCCATTAAAGCCAACATTCAGACACATAACAACCTACTAATTAAGCCCACAATACTGAAACATGATTATTCATATTTTATCAGCACCTAAATTAACAGCTAAAGTCCCATAAGATGCCAAACAGCAACCAAAACACAAAGCAGAAAGCATCAGTCAGCAGCCATTTTACACAAGTAAACAGAGCAAAACACCAACTGACATATTAGCACTAGCCGTTAGCCGTTAGCAGTTAGCACTTAGCTTACCTCGGTTGACGCAGAGGCCGCTGGATTAGCTGTCCTCCATCTTGAGTTGCACCTGTGCGGCTCACACCTGATGTGAATAAAGGTAGAAGAACCTTCTGGATACAAGCAGCAGCGACTGAGTGTCAAAAACATAATCATTTACTCCATAATGTCGTCTGGAAGCGATGAAATTAGACCGTTGGTGGCTAGCGTGCTAATTAAATGCTACATTAGCCGTGTCGTATCAAACCGGAGTGGGCGGAGCTTTTAGGTCGCTTCGCCGGCTCTCCGTTAAAGGGTCAATTCACTCAAAATAGAAAATATATTTTATTTCCTCTAACCCTGCATTCATGTGGTGTTGGAGTAATTAAAAAATAAATGAGTTTCTGTCTGGGAAAATTGAAAACAAATCGAGATAAGAAGGCGGAAAAACAGCAAAATATCTGGTACATGAGTTGCCAAGTCAACGTCATACACCCATCAGACCACAGAGGTCAGAGGTCGGCAACTTTAATTATCAAAAGAGACATTTTCAATCACTTGAGAAAGTCAGAAACTGCTGATCTACTGGGATTTCCACACACAACCATCTCTAGGGTTTACAGAGGATGGTCCCAAAAAGAGAAAATATCCAGTGAGCCATGCCTTGTTGATGCCAGAGGTCAGAGGAGAATGGCCAGACTGGTTCAAGATGATAGAAAGGCAACAGGAAGTCAAATAACCACTGGTTCCAACCAAGGTCTGCAGAAGACCATCTCTGAACCAACAACACGTCCGACCTTGAAGCAGATGGGCTACAGCTGCAGAAGACCACACCAGGTGGCACTCCTGTCAGCTAACAACAGGAAACTGAGGCTGCAGTTCACACAGGCTCACCAAAACTGGACAATAGAAGATTGGAAAAACGTTGCCTGGTCTGATGAGTCTGGATTTCTGCTGCCACATTCAGATGGTAGGGTCAGAATTTGGTGTAAACAACATGAAAGCATGGATCCATCCTGCCTTGTATCAACGGTTCAGGCTGCTGCTGGTGGTGTAATGGTGTGGGGGAGATTTTCTTAGTACCAACTGAGCATGGTTTAAACACCACAGCCTACCTGAGTATTGTTGCTGACTGTGTCCATCCCTTTATGACCACAGTGTACCCATCTTCTGATGGCTACTTCCAGTAGGATAACGCACCATGTCACAAAGCTCAAATCAACTCAAACTGGTTTCTTGAACATGACAATGAGTTCACTGTACTCCAATGGCCTCCACAGTCACCAGATCTCAGTCCAATAGAGCACCTTTGGGATGTGGTGGAACAGGAGATTCTCATCATGGATGTGCAGCCGACAAATCTGCAGCAACTGTGTGATGTCATCATGTCAATATGGACCAAAATCTCTGAGGAATGTTTCCAGCACCTTGTTGAATCTATGGCGCCAAGAATTAAAAAGGGGGTCCAACCTGGTACTAGCAAGGTGTACCTAATAAAGTGGCCGGTGAACTTGCACATCTCCAAGTATTGTTTTTCTTTAGTAAATGTAAGTAAGAAAATAGACACAGCAAATACGAGACAAGATAAGACTAAAAAGGAAATAGACATAATTGAATTGTAGACATCTCCTCAGTGAGGGACTGATGCATTTGATGCATCATGGATTAGCTCACTGTGTCACATTAAAAGTCCACTTAATGCCCAGTTTTAATAGTATGCTTTATGTCATAGCTTTGAAATGTAGTAGTCATAAAAATGCTTAAATGTAAGGGTGCACTTTGCCATCTAAATAATAAAACACCAGGGGAGAATCGAGACAATAAAAGTCAGGGACAAGAGGTTTTGGTAAAATATATACTTTTTTATTTATTTCTTCATACAAAGAAATATTTTGAATGTTCAGTATTTAATCATCTAGAAACTTCTGTTCCATTTTGTTTTTTGCATTGTGTAAAATTAATTCCTTTGATGTACATACCACAAAATACTTGATTTACATGTCTTTTTCATTTTTGTACATACAGATCTGCTAGTCTAAATACATATTATATGTGGGTAAGACAAACATTTTTTTAACATTTTTAGATCTCAAAACAGGTTGAATAAAACTCAACCATAACCGATGCAGCCACATGGGGTAAAACCCATGAGTGCAAGTTGTTGTTGTTTTCAGATATTTCCTCAGTTACATGAACTTGACCAGAATTCAAATGCAGTTTTCCATCAGTTACAGGGAAACATGTCGGACTTTCCTTCCAGAATGTGACAGCTTGCTAAGAGAGGTCATCATAAATGCTTTTTTAGAATCAAACATTGCACTAAGGGGAGAAGAGGAGATGAAGGCTTTCTCCACAAGTTCTCACGAGGAGAATCACGGCTCAGGCAGAGTGAAAGTAAAGATAGCACTACAAAAAAAACAACTACAGTGTAACAAGCCTCCATCTCCCCTGCTACCAAACATTGGTTTGAGGCTAAACCAGGCTGCTGGTTTCAACTGGAAAATAAGAGAAATAGTTGAATTGGGTCGCTCTCTGTCTTAATGACAGGAGCAGGCTAACTGTGTTGGATTGGATAGTTAAAGGGATAGTTCAGATTTTTTGAAGTGAGGCTGTATGGGGTAGTTATTCATAGATAGTGTATTATACACAGTAAATGTCAGTTGGAACGCCCCCAGTTTGGAGAAGCAGGCTGGAGTCCGACATGGTAGCTAAGCAATCTACTGCTATGGACTGGGGTCCGGCAACAAAACTTCTTTTAGCCACCTTAAAAAAGTTCCACCTTAAACAGATATCAGTTTTTTAGTATGCTATATTTAGAATATTTTCACTGTTTTACCTCAACAAACAGTGAGTTCCAACAGGAAAATGAAATTGTTTGAGTGCTCTCATCTAAGCCAGACTCCATTGAGAAAAAAAGTAATTTAACATTGCTGAACACAGGAGCTGCTGGTGTACCACTGCCTTAAACAGTGATTTTGTTTGTGTTATTGTGTGACTTCGGCTTTTAAAACGGTTAGTTTACATACACCAAAAACACACAGTAACACAAACTAACTAACTGATTCATGCAGCCAAAGACCAGCAGCTTCCATGCTCAGTGAGCTAAAATTACTGTTTTTCTCAATGGAGTCTGGTGGCTTAGGCGAGAACATAGATGGGGACGTTAACGGGTTTCCTTTCAGATGTAAAGCAGTGAAAATACTCTAAATATAGCGTGCACTTCAATGTTTTTATTAACATATAGTTGGCAGGACCATTTTTAGGAGGCTATTGTACATTTCATTGCTGACGCCCATCCACTGCAGTAGGCTGCTTAGCTTCCGTGTAAGACGCCTGCCTGCTTCTCCAAACAGGGAACATGCCGTTTGACATCTACTGTATGCAATACACCGACTACAAATAAGTGTCCCATACAACCCCACTTATAAAAATCCAAACTATCCTTTTAAAGAGGCACAACATTTCCTTAAATTCAAAAGGAAAGAGGGACAATCAAATATAACTTTTAACTAAAACTGAGTGACAATCTGACCTTTAAAATTGATTCCTTTGCTGTGAGGGTAGGTTGTGTACATTCAGTCTGGGCCCTGCTTAAACACACAAAGCCCTCCTCTGGATGCTAATAAATCCCTTCCCATTATCCCTGCATTTTCATAATGGCCACCACATTGAGCATGCATAGCATAGCGTAGCACAGCATAGCATGGCCGCCTCCCTGTGCCCTTATAATAGCGCGCCACCTGCTGCAAAGAGACGTGGGGCAGCACATCAAAGATTTTCTCCCTCTTGCATATCAAGAATTCAAGTAGAAAGACAAAAACAAAGAAGCAATGCAGGGGGAAAAAGCTGAGATCAAGCTGTGTGATATCAACCCAAAGGTTTTTTTTTTTTGGCAACAAGTAGAGAGTTGTGAGAGTTGTGAGGATGACGAGAGTGAATAAGGCATAAAGTATATAGGCCATGGACGATGGCACATGAGGTTTTCTGACGACACTAGAGAGGTTAGACACCCCCGCCTGAGGCAATTCGTGCTGTGCTGAGAGTGCTTCACAAAAACCTTTCCTCTTCCTTTGATCTCTTTAGTCTGGGATCTAAGACGGGGCCTGGTGGACTTCTGTTTGAAGAAGCGCTATTTCAGTGAGGCGAAGCCAAGTTGTTGTTTGTCTGTCATCTTTTCTATCTTAATGCTCGATTTCCGACAGATATGCCTCTGCTACCTCACGCAAAGATTTCTTTTTTTCCATCTCACTGTGATAACAAGGCTCACACTCCCCCCCAACCCTCAATGCTCCTCCCGCTCTGCTCCGCTCAACAAATCAAATGCCTCTCAAGGAAATTTGATTGAGACTTTGTGTGACCTTTGAACTGAGCGGACGGGGCAAGAGCCTGGCTCTCAGCCAACACAGCTTCTAATGGGTTGTTAGAGAGCGCAGGCTCGATTGATCTGCCCGTTACCTTTACTCGATTAGCATAATGTTAACATGGACCCTTATGTGGTCCAGGATGGGATTTAACGTTTGATGGATGGGTCATTCATTAGAGCAGGCAGCAGGAGCACTGAGAATGAAAGGGCAGCTGTATACTTTAAGCATGAGTGACACAATGAGGATCAGTTAGGTCTATTGATCTAACTGTTATTGAGTGGAAAGGAACATGAGATCTGCAGCTCAGGCCGATGCCAGTGCAGGAAAATTGGATTGTAGAAAACTTAACTTGGAGGTCTGCGTTGCAGTGAAGCAGACACTCAGAATGACAGGGTTTAAAGGTCCAGTGTGTCGGATTTAGGGGGTCATATTGGCAGAAATATAATATGTTTTCTTTTGGGTGTAATCACTCGAAAATGTGACTCGATGTATTTTCGTTACCTTAGAATGAACTGTTTATGCGGGTCCTCATCTACAGAAATCACGATGTTGCATCACCATGTTTCTACAGTCGTCCAGAAAGGACAACCACATGGACTTCTGATAGGGTCATTCGCATATTCGTGTCGACTACCATAGTTAGAAGTCCCTCCGGGAGGACAGTGTCAGTAAAACTGCTTTATTCAGTGTTTTTGCCAATTGAAATCATTGCATCTGTTTGTTTTGGAGAGGAAGAGACCTCTGCAGATAATTCAGCTCCCAGTAAAAACCACCTAAACATCTAGATCTTTAGTTATCAAAGAAAAAAGGTGAGCACAGATTAGCAGGTGCTAAGCTAGCAGCCCGTTCCGCAAAAAGCCAAACAGCATCAGAAAAACACATTTTTTAAATGGAGCTGCTTTAGGCAGTGTTTTTACCGGTTTAAATCACTGTGTTCGTTTGTGTTGGAGAGAAAGAGACCTCTGTGGACAGTTGGGCTCACGGTAAAACCCCCCTGAATGCCTGGATCAGACATGTTAGCACACATTAGCAGGTGCTGGGCTAGCATGCCAAAAAGCGTACAAAAAACACAGTTTTGTAACATGAAACTGATTCATTCAGTGTGTTAACTAGTTTAAATCCCTTGGTCCATTTGTTTTGGAGCGGAAGACACCTTTGTCAATAATATGACTCCTGGTTCAAACCTCCGAAACAATGAACACTGAAGGAATTCTAACCCAAGAAGTTTCAGCTGGTTGCAATCTGCAGTCCTCACCACTAGATGCCACTAAATCCCCCTAAACCTTACACACTGGACCTTTAAAATGAATGAAGGTAAAATCATGATGCATATATAAATGAGGATGCACATGGATAGGTGTTCTCCACTTCTCTGTGAGCACTCTGTACCCGTAATATGGTGCTTTTACATTTTCCACCCTAATTTCTACTTCGCTGATTATCTGCATTACGAAGCACCGATAAATCCGCTGAGTTTACAGGACCACGAGGGAGGAGCGAGAGAATTCAAAATTAAAAGGAGGAATGTTAAAAACAACATGTGGGCCAGATGTTATGTACAAATATGGTTAGGCAGCTTAGTGAATTAATTGCTTAGAAATAAAAATAAATTATTATAAAATAGATTTCTGTACATTTTACATATATATAGCAATATCTCCACATCTTGCCGTTGAATTACAGAGGAAAAAAAATAATAACTTCTCAACAAATTAACAAAAAAGTCTTTCATGATTTTCACATCAATCCCAACCAAAGTTATGTCCTGTCATCTGGTAGAACTTCATGTTGAAGGGCCTGTAGAAGTCCCGTAGCCTCTGCACCACCTCAGGGTCAATGTTCGGATGGGTCCGCCCTTTGGTTTTACCCAGGCAGTGGGGCTTGCTGCTGCCCTCTGCCTTCTTGAGGCACGGGAAACCCTTGGTCTGGTTGAAGTAAAAGTGTTTGTCCGTGATGATCCTCTTGAGTCCCAGGAAGTCCTGCACGCGGCCCAGCTCTCCGGCCGGGTCGCTGATCAGACGCTCGCCGCTCACAAACAGGATCTGCTCCATGGGGAAGTACTGCAGCCAGTTGTCCAGGTGCTTGGCGTAGATGCCGATCTGGATGGCGCTCCACGAGGTGTCGATGAGTCCCGTAGTCCTGTTTTTGAAGGTGAGGCTCTCTAAAGAGGGAATGTCGGGCTTCTTGGACAGCGTCTGCGTGTAGTCCGAGATAGCCCTGGTGACGGGGTCCCTCACCACCACGATCAGCTTGGTGTCCCGGGACATGGCCGATATCCTGGCTGGAGCCTCCCGGGTCACAAAATAGCTGGGGGTTTTCTCCATGGTGATCTGGCCCTCCAGGGTTTTGGGCATCAGCTCCCTGCAGAAAAAACAGACACAAAGAGGAGGTTAGGCGAAGGGTAAGGTGGAGCAATGTCTTGCATAATGTAATCAAGTTGATGGAGTGTACTGTGTTCTGTAATCAATGACTCACTGAGCCTGTTTGGCCTTATTATAGGGTTTGAAAACCTATTAGTGCAGGCAGCTCTCCAACATCAGCATGCTCACTCACTCATAAGATATCTCACTTCTGACAGAAAACAGAGAACCCTTATTTACTGCATAATCAAACACTGGGAAACATTTACAGGAATTTCTAAACATGGTCGACCCTGAATTTAACCATATTAGGGGATTCTTTAACTATCTGGGTTTTTGTTTCCCTTTCAGAAAAATCAAAACACATTTCTTATTTTTTATTTTTGTCACACTGACTTGACACCAAAGAGAACATACAAAAATTAAACGGGAGATCAGTTGTTATTTTTATTATATTAAAAATGCCTTTTTATGTGGTGTTTGCTGTATTTCCTTTGTCCCTGGCCACATTTTGGACATTTAACCCTGCTTAATTTTGACTTTAATATTAATTCAACATTAACTTCAAATAGAAATTACACATAAATACCTATTCAAATAAAATGTATCATGTGTTCTAGATATATGAATATTTTATGACTTTTTAAAAATAAAAAGACCACCTTTCCACCACACTGTAAAAAAGTCAGGCAGCTCTCATGCCCTGTTAGTACGTTTTCCTACGAAAAGTTATGCACCAAAATTTCTCATATCCTATGTAATGATGAGCCAGTAACCCACGTATTTTGGAAGGCTGCAATCACGTGACCAATGCACTGATGGGAAAGCAGGTTGGGGTGCTGGATGGGTCATTTAACACAGGACTTTCCCCCCCGAGACTTTCAGGAGACTTCACAGTGATGTGGACTTTGAGTGATTTTAAGGTACATCCTCACCATGTTTCTTTCCCTAAACCTAACCTCCATAACTTAACGTTAATTATATAACTTTTCATTATGGATGTAACTTCAACCGTGGGGTTCTAATTTGTACAATATCATACAAACTGTTGTATGAGGATATGTTGAAAAAGTAAATTAGGGAGGGTTTTTTTGGAGTTTGTAATTTGGTGAGCCCATGTCTAGAGGACAGTTAGCTCCATTGAAAGAACTGAAATAATAAAAAAAATCAAGGTCAGTTTTTGTTAAATTAGAATATGTTTCTTGACTGTCATTTCCAAACAGTTCATATTTCCTTTGAATGTACAAATAGCAAGAAAAACAACATTTTCATTGACCTGACCTTGATGTTGATATTTGGTTGAATTTAGGTTGTGACTTCAGGTGACCAGAATTCAATGCCAGGACAACATTCAATGCCAACATCAATTTGAAACAGAATACTGACGACAGATGACATTCATACTGTGTTGTCAGCCTGATTTTCATTCCAACCAAAATTTAACATCTGTCCATCACAAGAGTCCAACATCTTTCTGATGTCATAAATACGTCCAGTGCAACCTGGGTTATACTTTGTATTTTGTGTAATGCAAACACTTAAACAGACATTAGCAAGCTATGTGACGATATCTCATTTTATACATGTTCTAGATTTTATTTAAGGTTCCAGACCAAAATGCACCGTAGTTGTCCTTTGCAGCTAACCTGCTCTGTTATGCCTTAATAATTTTCACTGTGATTTTGCCTAACAATGCATTTTTTATATAGAGATACTAGATCACAACATGTGTGAATTCTATTATCTGATGCATCTTCCTTGAGCTAGTCTTCCCTCAAACATCACTGCTGGATGTAAATGTCCCAAAGTGGTCAGACTTAATCAAAATTAACCCTCCCCTCTTTATACTGTTGGAGCAGAAAAAAAATCCCACTCAATTTGCCTTGCTGACTCAGGCGTAGCTGTGCCACGGTGCCCCGCCCCCCATCTGACCCACAAAAAAATCAGACGCACTACAGTACTGAAAGATGATGAGGCTTGTTTCAGAAATGCAATCTGTTTTTTGACAAGAGTGGGTTTGGTTTTTGGGTGAGGGCTGGCTGATGGGCTTTAAACAGATACGTTACATGCAGACGTATAATCAAGAGGTACTTGAGACCAACTGGTTTTGAAGGAAAAGTGAAAGCGCTCTGCTCTCCCAGCATTAGGTTTCACAAATGGTGGCCGACCGCAGAGGCTCGATTATGGTGGAGGCGATAAGAGCGGTTTGACTGACACTGGGACACGGATCACCTTTCCCTCTTTGGCCCCCACGCACCAGGAAGAAAACTATGTGTGATTGAATGGTGTTTCTGGTGCTGGCTGGATGGGAGGGGTTCAAACTATGTGCTGGAAACTGCAACAGCTAGAACTGTTCCTTCTGCTTTGTCACAGTGAAATCAAAAAGACAGTCACAGGAGTAAAAACTCTAAGGGACACACAGAGACCTAAAAACAGCAAATAAGCAGTTTAGAGCGGTCAATGGAGGAAAAAAACAAAGGAAGGACGAGATAACCGAGGGCGCTTATCTCGCAGATAAGACTCCTGTTAGCCTGTTGTACCCTTTTGTTGTTAAGGCTAGGGCACTTACACACCATTGTGTAGACAGTACTATTGTAGTCGATCCCATTCAAATTCTGTGTAATCCTACACAAAGTATTTCCACACTGAGGACGGTAAAAGACGATGTTGGACACATTCTGTACACACAGAAGTCTGTAACACTCGATTCTTCCCCAGAGCTTCAGCTGCTCCTCAGAAATATACTCTAAAAGCTGGAATCTAGTTCACGTCCATCCAGCTCATGGCTAATTCATGGAACATCGGCTCTCCATCAATGCACATATTTGTGTGCAAGGAAGAGGGAACGGCGAGGAGAGGGAGGAAATACCCAGAGTAGCGTCAGGTAACCAATAAAATGCCTCGTGGAAATGGTGTTGGCAGATTTGTGTAATCCTAATGCAGTGCCAGTGATCTAATTATGATAATATGTTCTTGATTGCTGACACATCAGAGGGGTGAATGGAGGAGACGGGGGGGAAATAAAACTGTTTCAAAAAGCTCATTTGGGGCCAGACTGGGATCATAAACAAACAAGCTGGGAAACTAAGGCCAGCACAGGTCTTTTAGTTTAATTACTACAAACAAAAACTGCTTTAAAATCCTCTGAAATAGTTAAGGCATAAAAAGTGTCGTATGTGCATGTACATGATCGTATGTGATGAGAGGCAGAGCTCATGCTATTAGTATTAGAGTGACTGCAGCTTGTTACATTTGTGCATTTCATATGTATCATATGAATGTTTCTAAAGTGACGTAGTTTTGAATACATGAGCTGACTTTGTCATTGGGAGGTGGAGGAGATGGTGGATGGTGTGAAGCCAAGCCGAGATGACTGCCAAGCTGCAGAGTGCTGCAGACCACGGTTTGAGACAAAATATTGTCTGTCTCATTGTCTGTGGTAATTGTGCCACCAAAAGTGGGGTTTTTGGTTGGACATTGGCTGCATTTCCAGCTGTGATTACCAAAGGCGGTAATTTTTAAGCAAGACATCAACAGCATTTCCAGAGGTAACTGTGTCACCAAAGGCAAGTGTTTTTCAGCGAGAAATTGTCGACATTTCCACAGGCAATTGTGCCATCAAAAGCTGGTACTGTTAAGTGAGACATTGACTGCATTTCCAGCTGCGATTACCGAAAGTGGTCATTTTTAGACATCGCCAGCATTTCCAGCTGTGAGTGTGCCACCAAAGGCAAATGTATTTTAGGGAAACATGGGCAGCATTTCCAGAGGCAATTGCACCACCAAAAGCTGTTTTTGTTCAGTGAGACACCGATGGCATTTCTGGCTGCGATTACCGAAAGCAGTCATTTTTTAGCGAGACATTGGCAGCATTTCCAGCTGCAATTGTGCTACCAAAGGCAAGTGATTTTCAATGAGAAATTGGTGACATTTCCAGAGGCTATTGTGCCACCAAAAGCAGGTATTGTTTAGTGAGACATTGATCGCATTTCTGGCTGTGATTACCAAAAGCGGCCAGTTTTTAGCAAAGACATTGGTGACATTTCCAGAGGCAACTGTGCCACCAAAAGCGAGTGTTTTTTAGCGAAACATCAGTGACACTTCCAGCCGTGATTGTGCCAAATGTTTATTTAGCGAAACATTGGCAGCATTTCCAGTGGCAATTGTGCCACCAAAAACAGGTGTTTTGGCATTTCCAGTCGTGATTGCACCACCAAAGGTGTGTTTTATTTAGTGAAACATGGGCGGCATTTCCAGAGGCAGGTGTGCCCCCAAACACTGGTATTGTTTAGCGACACATTGATGGCACTTCTAGCTGCGATTACCAAAAGTGGTCCTTTTTCAGAAAAACATTGGCAGCATTTTCAGACTGTGCCTATTTGGTCAAAATATGATGTTTTCCTAACCATAAGCGGGTTTTTTAATGCTTAAACATAACCACACATTAACCACAGCATTATTGTAATGTAAGGAAACACAACATTTCTACATATCTGCTAAATAATAACCTATACATGTTACATATCCCTGGTTTGCAAAAGCATGCAATACCAACATTTATTCTGGCGACTAGCTTGCCAGGCCTTTAATCTGGCCTGGCTACTGGGAATTCTCCCGGTGCTCTCGATGGCCAGCACAGGCCCGAGCTCATTAATAGCCTATTGAAATCAAAACAGACACAGCATGTGGTTTTATGCAAAAGCATGACAGATCTTTCCGCCAGCAAACCATTCCCGGAGATAAATGCAAACAACACGCTATGAGCACACACATTAATTCTCCGTCACAACTTTAAACTGCACCCTCTTGAGCGTCTTCAAGGAATACAAACCAAACATGCTCTACTTAAACTGCATGCTATTCCTTATTCTCTCGATGCACAATGGTGATACTGCCTGCAAGCTTTTTGTCATTCCTTGTGCTAACATACAAAAAGAGTCCAGAGCTGACACACAGGAGGCAAATGGCTTCCCATCTAATCCGATTTCAACATCACAATGC